ACAAATAATTTGAAAAAAATCAAATCAGCTGCTATACTGATATTACCTGTTCAATGTGCCTTGGTTTAACTCACAGTTACTGTATACTGTCCAGATAGGCAAAACAAAAAATGTAAATATGCTTATTTGACAATTTATTTGAATGTATTGGTTGATATTTTTTCACAGTTGTTGTTTTCTTTAACCCAAATGAAATCCAATTTCAAAATTTTCTTATAGTGGAAAATATTTCCAAGTAACATAAAATAAAACAACGAGAAAAACAAAATTCCTAGCAAATCAGACTTGCAGCGTAAGCGATTATAACCGGATGCAGTTCCTACATAAGTCATATCTGGTTACAAACACAACTTTGAGTGAATAATGGTGGGCTGATTTTGTAAAACTGACCCATAAATTAGGCAGTAAAACAAGTATTACTTAGCTTAAAGGTAGAACTCTCTAATATACCACTCTTACAGTGGACACCTCCAAAGTTTTTATGAAATATGTACCCAAAGTTATAAATCGACGCTCGAACTAATGCAGGAAAGGTTTATGCAGATAAGCAAGGCCGTTTTTCAACGGTATAAAATGTACATACACATATTCTTACATACATATTTATCAAAATATTCAGAATGACGAAATGAATTGGTTCAGTCGTGTCTGTTTGTAAACACGCTAACTCGAACAAAATTTAGATATTTTAAAAGTCGGTGCCGAAGTTGCCTTTGGCATAATTTAGGTTAGAATTAAATTTTGGTGAAATCTGTCTATAACCACAACCACCTCCCATGTAGTAATCAACAATATTTTTGTCTTATTATTTTTTTTTACGAATTTCGCTGTTAAAATTTACATTTCAAATATATCAACAAACATTTGGGGGTACTTTTGCGCCCGTCATTGCCTATGGGTTAACGACAAAATAATCCTATGCATGCACAATATTTCATGTATTAAATTTCAAATAAGCATATTGTCAATAGCTGGTTTACTGTATACTGTGGTTTAACTGTATTTTTGGAATAAACAAAGTTCTTTTTCCTTCTGTCAGTGAACTGTTTTTTTTTTTTACAAATAGTATAAATAAGCAATGGGAAGTAAGGCAAAATTTGTTTTATTTGCAACCTTTGTTGGAAATAAAGCAAAACTCAGATTTTGGTATTATTTCCCATTTAAAAGTGAAATAAAGCAAATTTTGCGTTATTGCCGTTTGTGTTATTTCACCCCCCCTATCTTCCGACCCTGTTATATCCGATATATCGCTCAAAAAGACAACTATAAAACAAAATTAATCTCGACGTTGAAGCTGCAAATATGCTAAAATCGACTGCTGAGCAATTGTCAGATAACATCCCATCGGATTTTGATTATGACTAATATTTTTAAGTTTTTCGAAATTTTATTTAGTTATTTAGAGTAATATTTATGTACATATATGCTCATTGAGTATTACTCAAGTATCATATACTTAATATCACTTGTTATTTTTAAATTAATAATAATAATAGATTGGCACTTACACATATGTTAGTGTTTGGGCGAGCTTCTCCTCCGATTTGTGGCGTGCGCCTTGATGTTGCCACACAAAGAGGAGGGACCTACAGTTTTACGCCAACTCCAAACGGCGATTGTATTTTTATGAGAAGCTGTTTTTCATGGCAGAGATACACTCGGAGGTTTGCCATTGCCTGCCGAGGGACGACCGCTGTTAAGAAAAAACCTATTTTCTATATTTTCTGCGATGTTGCTTTGACCAGGGCTTGAACCCAGGTGCTGATGAGTGAAAGCGCGCACTGCTTACCACTACACCACATCGGCCGATTTTTAAATTAAGAACTAAAATTTTTGCTGAAAGAAAAACTGAGTTTCAACACAATAAATAATACTAACAGCCGCACTAAGAAACGTTCATTAAATTAGCTCTAAGGGGCACTTAACTAATGATCGTTAAATCAGTTAATTAATGTTTCCTCTCAGAGCCAAAAATCATGAAATTTAAAATTTAAGTATGCCCCAGTTGCGGCCCTTTTTTTAAGGCATCACTCACTTTTTCGTTCAGTTTGAAATCAAATATAAAAATAATTACTTATTTGTTTTTGCGCGCACAGCCTCAACAGTCGCAATGGCTGAGTGAGCAGAGAACAGGCGTGCCATTCGGGAGATTCGAGTTCGAATCCTAGGGCAGGAAAATTTTACTTTTCCTTTTTTTATTTATTTTATTTTCTTGTTAAATTTTTAAAAACTAATTTTATTTAGTCGGCCGCTGTGGTGTAGTGGTAAGCAGTGCGCGCTTCCACTCCGCTGCACCAGGGTTCAAACCTTGGTCAAAGCAACATTGCAAAAATATAGAAAAAAGGTTTTTTCTTAACAGCGGTCGTCCCTCGGCAGGCAATGGCAAACGTCCGAGTGTATTTCTGCCATGAAAAACAGCTTCTCATAATAATACAATCGCCGTTCGGAGTCGGCGTAAAACTGTAGATTCCTCCGCTTTGAGTGACATCAAGGCGCACGCCACAAATCAGAGGAAAAGCTCGGCCAAACACTAACATATGTGTAAGCACCAATCTATTATTATTATTATTATTAATTTTATTTAGTTTTTTTCTTTTTTAATGTAATTTACTTTTGATTTGTAGAATTTATTGTTTTGAAAGGGAAACTTTCTTTTTGTTATTTTTGTTATTTTATGGCCTTATAACAATTATATTCAACAATTTTTATGAGCTTGAGGCCGATTTTAGTGAAAACTTATTGTGGAAAAGCAACAATAATTTGAAAAAATGGTAGAAGTGATAGCTATTTCGGAAATCACCACATTTCCTCATCAGACTTCTTTCAGTAGGATTCGAACCGACGATCACCACTGACTCAGCCAGTTGCCTACGACCTGTGCTGAGTTTGCCTTGTTAATTCTTGTTGCATATTTCCACTATTTCGCTTTGCTAAGCCAACTACAATCAAGCGCAGCTATTCCGCTGCAATTCACTTGATCATGTGGTTGTTGGTNTTGTTGGTTTTGTTGGTTTTTGTTAATATTTCTATTATTAGAATGTTTAACTTTTAGGTGTGATAGTCCTTAAGTTATTTGTTTTTGTTATTTTATGGCCTTATAACAATTATATTCAACAATTTTTATGAAATTGAGGCCGTTTTTAGTGAAAAATTATTGTGGAAAAGCAACAATAATTTGAAAAAATGATAGAAGTAACTTAACTTAAGGACGAGCACACCTAAAAACTAACAGGCCAATTCTGGCATCTGTCTTTCATCTCATCTCAGTCCTTCGAAAGGCAAAAGTCTTTATATTCCGGCAACTATCTTGAAAGCTCTTTTCTGTATTTCGGATGACTAATTGAAAGATCTGCCAACGAGAGGGATAGCGTTATTCTATTCGTCGTTAACAATACGTTTTCTAAAAACTAAACGAAATTAAAAAAAAATATATTTTTTTAAAAGAAAAACTAAAAACTTGAGAAAATTGAAGTAAAAAATGAAAAAAGCTTAATTATAAAAGTTTCTCAACATTAAAAAATGTAAAAAATATTTATTTTTTAAACAATAAAACTTAAGTAAAAGAAAAAATTTTTATTAAAAAATAAAAACAAATTCCGTTGCCGAGAATTGAACTCGGACCTCTCGAATGACACGAAAGTGCTCTGCTCACTGTTACAGCAACGTTATCGAAATTGAAATTTATTGGAAGCAAACAAAAAATTTCAAATCATTCGTTAAAGAGTTAAGTAAAGATTTTTTTTCGCGTTCAGCATGTCGAATAACTTAGGTATATATAGGTTTCGTAAACGTGTGATATTAGTACATAAATAGTGGTTGGCATGTGCTAAACAATTTAATATCTAAAGAGCCATATGGTTACTAAAATTTTTTTTTTAGTACATTAGCAAAAAATATTGAAAGTAACATTTTGACACCTAAACGCGATAAAAATCACAGCGAGAAATTAAAAAAAAAAAATTATTCAAAAAAAAAATTAAGTTTTAAGAAAATTTGAAAAAAATAAAAACTGTTAAAAAAAATTTTTGCCATCTTTGAGAAAACTATTTTCTTTACATACTCACAAAGTTTCATGAAAATCGCATGAAAACTTTGGTCGCAATAATTATTACAAAAATAAGGTCCACAAATATTAAATTAAAAAATATATATATAAAAAAATCGAATACTGGCGAAATATTTTGCTGATGTATTTGTGGATACTCAAACTAAGAAATGCAAACACTTATTGCAATATTCGTTACTTTGTGAAAATTGAGGGGGCCACTTCAGGAATTTTTACCCACATATTGGAATTCATTGACATTTTCAAAATATTTGTATACCACTGGAGTTTTAATTAAGCTTTTTGTATACTCATTTATTTTCTAAACAAATAAGCATTATAATTATATCAAGCTGTGCACGCAAAGATTGCTATAGAATTTCATTATTCACCTCAGACTGCAAAAATGATTAATTAGTTATGAATAACAGAAGAGACTCCAACTTTGTAGTCTTTAGTCAAACATGTGATTGATTGGCTGCAGTTAAAAAGTGTTAGTCAGTGAATGTGACTGTAACGATCACTGTAACGGTCACGATGACTGCATTCTTTAACACCTCTGCAATCTATCTAGCTGCTTTTTGATCATACATTAAAATTGTTTTATGGTTGCTTGAAATCACTAACATATATTTTTAACCCATATAAAATTTATGATAGTAATGTTTCAATAAGAAGCTATATTCTTAAAAAATTTGGTAAACTATGCGTGGCACCCACTTGGGAAAAAAATTATGTACCTCAATTACCGCTTTGCTGACCTCTACCAAATTTAGAATGCACATTGCTTCGGGTCTCACTTATCAAGATGATACAATCAAATCGGCAAATAACTACATATTCCCACCCACCTGTATAACAGCATTTTCAGAAATGCACAAACAATTGCATACATATTTTAAGAGTTCGCAAAAATTTTGGCTTCTTTACTCATTAAAATTACATATCTACTAACCTTTTCGTGGGAGCACCAATGGCAAGCTTTTTCTGATTAATACACGTCTCTAGAATGTATGTTAACATGTTATCATTTGACGAAGATGCAGATTGTTTCATTTGACTGGGTTGTATTTTAAGCGTGCTAGAACCAGAGGGTGTTTTTTGTGTTTGACCCCCTGACGATTGCGATGTAATGATGGGGGATAGTCTCTTTTCCATTGCGGATATTGCAGCTTTTTTTGCATCATTTTGTGTTTGTGTTACCAATTTAGATGTAGTAGGTTTAGGTGTACCATTTTGATCTTTTACTGTGGTAACTGTTGACGGCGGACGTGCCTGCGTAATAGTTTTTGGGTGTTGCATTGAGAGATTTTGAGGCTTTTTATGCACAATATTCTTGCTTTTTGTCGTGATTGATGACAATAATTTTGATCCAAGATCGCTGGTGCTTTGTTGATAAGAAGCCTTTTGCGCGGGAGTAGGTGTTGCTGACCGCAAAATCGATTCTGAGGATGAAGACGACTTTGCCTTTGTCGCTGAAAGTGTTGGTTTTGCAGAAACGTAACGATTTCCTGGTTTTTTGCTCATCTCGAAAAATTTACTTGCTGCAAAAGATGATGAACTTGATTCGGGTCCCGAATTAGTACTCGGTGCACTTTTATTATTGGAGGGATTCTTTGATTGAGTCTTTGACTGATTAAAAGTAGACTTGTTAACACTACTACTGGTATTTGTGTTACTCAGAGCAGTTAGTGAAATACTTGGTGATATTTCACTGAATTGTTTTGTGACGCTCGTTGAGCCAGGTGGGCTGGTGGTGGGTATAATTTGCATTCCAGAGTTACCGCTAATATTATCACTTGCCGTTTTTCCACCAGTACTTTTGCTCGAAAAAATGCTACTGCTACTGGTTGTGCTTTTATAAGATTGAAGATTTGGCATGCCGCTATGTTGAGCATCTTTTGTGGATTTTGAATTTGGTGTTAACCGGTCTTCGGTTAAATTCGTTGCCACATCGGTGGGCAAAGGACGCTTTAAACCAGCTTGTGGCAGAGGGGAGCTTCTTGCTCCACTAGAATTGCTCACAGTAAAATTGATTTTATTTGAGTTAGTATCGTTTCGTGTACTTCCGTTTGTGGGTACTGATATGTCTGAGGATACTTTTGCGGGTGCTTTATCAGGGTGCTGTTTTTGTGGCTGCTGCTGTTCCACAGCTTTTGGCGAAGGACTGTTTAGTGCGGAAAGCGCATTTCTGTCAAAATTGGCATTGGCGGTGGGAGGATAAAGTGGGTTCCTAAATTGATTCATAGGCGCAGTACCGGCTTTCGATTTCGTCAAAGGATTTCCATTTCCAGAAAAGTCATGCCTATAATTGACGAGACTTTTTAAACTGTTCTCGTACATTTGATAGTCGAAATTTGCCGGTAAATTATTTGCAGGTGAAGGAGTTGATGCAGGGTATGTGGGTGAGCTATGTTGTCGTTGCGGCAATGTAACTGGATTCATATTGTGGGGCATATGATTGTTGGCAGCATTCAATGCATACATGCTCAAGTCTCCCAAAGCGCTAAGTGGGTTTGGGTGCATTGCATTGCTATGCATGGGCAAGTCTGGAATACGTGGATTAGTAGAAACGGATTTTGGTGGATTTTGCGCAAACGGCGAAGTGAATGCCGCACTACTTAGCGAGGTGCTTATATCAGGAAAACCAAATGCACCCTCCGCAATTCTTTTCCCCATCTCTAAATATTGTTGATTGGAGGCGGTATAGTTTCCCAAATGAGAGAGATATGGTAGGTAGGACGATAGCGAACCTGGAGTGTAATTTCCGTAATTGAAAAGAGCTGACATTTGCTGTAAAATGCAATAAAAGAAAATGAGTTAGCCTTGGGCTTAATGAGATAAATACAAGATACTGTCCTATTGATATGAAAGTATTACATACAAAGATAAAATATGTTGAATAACTTGAATTATACTTACATTGAAAGCAGATAAAGAAGAACCCAAATATGATGGAAATTTAGGAGCTGAAACATTGTTTTGTAAGCTGAAATAAAAAATTAAGTACAACTGAATTAAAAACCAACTATTTTATGTAATATGCAAACTTTATAGAAATTATTTAGCTAAGAAGAGTATTGAATAGCAGTGTTCTCGTATGGAAAATTATCCAAAATTTAAGCAAACTATCACAGTTATTATGTTATGGTACCCCAAAAGTATGGGATATTGAGAGAGCAAAATGACATTACATTTTGATATACAAAATCTCACGTAATGGCAACGGGTCCCACTTATGGGACAAAGTATATGTGGGGACAACTAAAACTAAACTTAAGACAAGGATTTCCGCACACAAATCAAATATAAAGCTAAGGAACAGCTCAACTGACAATAAGACGGCCTTGCCAGCACACTGTAGGGATACGGGACACTATCCCGATTTCGATAATGTTGCCATTCTACAAGAAGAAAAAAACTATAATAAACGCTACATTTTGGAAATATTACACATTACGAACACCCCTAATGAGAGAAGGATAAACTTTAAAACGGACACAGACAATTGTGCACATGTGTATCGCAATTTGGTGTTAAATCGACAACAACAATCCTCAACCTTCCAAGCCTTCCATAATCAACATTCGTTCCGTTTCCCCAACATACCTTCATAAAATAACAATAAAATGCTGTGCTTTTACATGTACATATGCTTGTACATATACATATTGTCTTACTGCTAAATGTTCCGTGTATTGTTGTTTGTATGTTTTCTGTTTACAATTACGGCATTTTTAATTGTTTACTTCTTATGTTTATATTCATTTGCCTAAAATTTCACTTCTTTAACTTTTATTTCTGAACGCCTAATCAGTCCATCAGGCACAATCAAGAGTGTAAGTTGTGTTTAATGTATGTTTGTAATAATTTAAAGTTAATAATAAGTTATCGTGTTTGTATATTTACAGCCCATGACCTGAGACAATTAAATTATAAATAGAACGAAGTTTTTGCGTTTGGGATCAGGGATGTTGCGAATATTTGCATTCGCATTCGTTATGCGAATGATTCGCATTCAACATTCGCATTCGCATCAAATGATACGAATGTTTTGCGTATGCGAATGTTTACATGGGCAGATTCCACTCTAATATTGTTGAAATGGCTCTAAGCCTGTCTAACCAGGATGCGGACAATAACCGGCTTTTAGCTTCAGGCGATAAACGGTTAAGTAGTTTATCAAGCAAATTGATGGACCTTTAACAAGTACTGCTAAGTCTTTTAAGCAACATAGAAATAATATTAGATTCCTCCAGTGAAAGCGAAGGCTCAGATGTAGAATCTGGAGACATTAGAAAATGTGAAATTAAAGCTCTTAAAGAAAAACGAGCTTATCTCGGTGAAAATCATCTCGATTGGCGGGAAACTAAACTCTTACTCTTTTTGAAATGTAATATGCCTCTTTTGAACTTTGACTACTAGACTAAAACCCTGCACTATGGTCTGGCAGTTACTATTTGCTGGCCAAAAGTCATTTTTTAGAGTATCGATAAATCGATTTTTTTGTCCCTTCACTAAACTAATTCTCCAGAGTAAAAAAGTACATACTCATTATTTTCTTAAAGAGTTTTCCCATTGAGATATCAGCTGTTGAAGTTGACATTTGTACTAAAAGTTTAAAAATTTATTTCTTTCGTAGTCAGTATTGTAGTTCGAAATGGTGGCTGCATTTCTTTATTCATTCTGAACGTTTGGAATAAACTTTTTTGTTTACTTATTCTGTAGAACGTTCCTGATGATATGTTAACGTGTATTTCAAACGCATTCTGTTTATTCCGGCTGTGAAATGGGATTATCCGGAATGTATAAAGAAACGCAGCCATTATGACTCTTCGAGTGCGAAAGATACTTCAAAAAAGAGAAAGGAAATGAATATTTGTGTAATTAACAAAAAAAAAAAATAACACATAGCTTGCTACATAAAATAAAACTCATTTTCAAAATGGACTCTTATTTGGGTAATAATATTCCACTTGAAGTAGAGCTTTTAAAAATTGGATTCATTTGGCGGTCTTCAAGCTTTGCAGGCAATAAAAATGTTCAATTTAGAGTTTGTGGGCTGAGAATCATATTGCACTTTTTTGTATTTTTGGAATAATGGGCTTTTTTATTAGAAAAGGTGTGTTTTGCCGTGCTTTTCCATGCTTGAAAAGCAGCATCGACTGGAAAAATTGCTGTTTTAAACATTTTGCTGTGAAATATTATTAGACGGAGCACATCTGAAGAATATAACAACTATATAAAGGAAATACCAATAATGATATGCAAGTACGTAGATGAAAAATGCATTCATGCAATTTTTTGTTTAAGCTTGTACGTTACGTTATTTTTTCAACTTTATATCTAGCCTAATATTAGTAATATACTTGTGCTAGTGTCCTTTCAAATAAATACAAATATAAGCTTATATTTAAAGGAAAAAGATTTTATTTGAAGCAGCTGAGATTAGAAAAAAATATATAGCAAAAACTATACACATTTTTTAAACTAAAATTTTTTTTCCGATAACGTCATATTAGATCTAACCAACAAAAGAAAATATGGGTTTTTTGAATTAATAATAGATTGGCGCTTACACATATGTTAGTGTTTGACCAAGCTTCTCCCCCGATTTGTGGCGTGCACCTTGATGTTATCACACAAACGGGAGGGACCTACAGTTTTACGCCGCCTCCGAACGGCGATTGTATTTTTATGAGAAGCTGTTTTTCATGGCAGGAATACATTCGGAGGTTTGCCATTGCCTGCCGAGGGGCGACGCTTTTTCTAATTTTTTTTTGCGATGTTGCTTTGATCAGGGCTTGGACCCAGGCCCTTCGGAGTGGAAGCGCGCACTGCGTACCGCTAAACCAGCGGTCATTGCTAATTTTTTATTTAATGCTAGTACACTGAGAAAAAATAAACCATATCCTCATTGTTTTATGCTAAAACACATATGATTTTGCGCCAAACAACCGTTTGTTTACGTCAAACAGATTTATTTTTAGAGATTTTTGCGTTTGCCAATGATTTCGGTCGGCACTTCACAGATACTTTTTCGTAATAAATAAGATAATACGTTCCTCCTAATGATATTCCTCTCCGGACCCTCCTGAAAGCTAACAAATGGCAGCAAGCATCTCTACGCACTTAGCCACAGCAACAATATGTAATGCAGCGTTTTTACTGCATTTAAAATGCAACATTTAGCACTTTCGAACATATATATTCGAAGAGCATTCATGCTATCGCTTTTACCAAATGCACATTTACGCGAATTCGAAATTGTATGCTTTTGACAAAAAGCCGTGTTCCAGTCGCTTATTCAGATCCGTATCTACCACGATGAATTCGCACGGAGAAGAAAGCATGCTAAATAAATCTACTCAAAAAAGAAAAAAAAAATTAAACAACAAATTGAAAAACAGAATCTTGAACTGTTTTAACTATAACCGAAAATTTGTGCATTTAGAGTAGCATTTAGAGCTAAATGCGCTAAATGTGATTTTATGCGTAAGCAAAAACAGCCCATAAGTGTGTTTCACACTATCGAAGCCAAATCTCGCGATTGGTAAATGTGTGAAGATTTGTTTTTGCTAGTTGCAGAGTGGCGTTGATCGGACATTTTTTATTGGACTGAACTAACTCTCTATAAAAAATTGTGGACAACATAATTCTGTGATCGGTCAAACAAACTTTTAGTTACAGAGTGACGTTGTCTGGAATTGTTTTATTGAGCATTTGGAGGAGAATATCTTATTTTTGTAAGCGTTATAGCGGTCTCAAAAATAATTTTGCGAAAAATAACTCATTATTCATTATTCAAAAGTATTCATTTGTAACAAGTAAAAAAAGTCTAAGTTCGGGTGGAGCCGAACATTAAATGCCCGGCGCAAGTATTAAATACAGTTTTGCACCCTTCTAAAAACTACCATTACATGGTAAGAAGAGTGGTTTTACCCCTATTTCTAACAATTTCGATAGTATGTTCAGTTATACTTAATGAGATAAACTTATATGGTTAGATGTAGCTGGTACCATGCCCACTTTCCAAAATTCTATAATAATGTTACTTATTTCAAGGGATTGTTGTTAGTATCAATTTCGCGTAAATTAGCGTCCTTAAATTTCGAAATATCGAAGTCCAAAGAATTTCTGGAATTTACCGTTATATGAAAAGTGGGAGTAATTTTAGTCCGAATTCAATAATTTTTAAGGTTTTGCTTTTATGTACCTTGTCATAAGTGTATTTACTGATTTATCGAAGATTTCGTATTTGTCTAAATTCCCGTTATATATCCGATTTTAAAAAATATTCAGCCGTTTGCTACGTTGTACCAAGGTTAAAAACTGTGCCAAGTTTGGGAGAAATTGATGTAGCGGTTACCAAGATATACACATGTCATCATAAGTGGGCGTGGCTACGCCCATTTTCCAAAAATTTATAATATACTTATTTTAAGTTTAAAAATCATTGTAAATATCAATTTTTAGTAAATAAGCTTCAGTAGTTACTAAAATATCGCAGTTTTTGGTATTTCTGAAAACTACCGTTATATAGGAAGTGGGCGTGATTACGGCCCGTTTTCCGGCGGTGAACAACCCGAAGATGCTCGGAGTAACATTCGATAGTCTGCTCTCCTTCTCGGCGCATACAACCGCAATTGTCAACAAAGTACAAAGCCGCAACAAGGTCCTCAAGTCGCTAGCCGGCAGCACCTGGGACAAAGACAAAGAAACGTTGCTGGCAACGTACAAGGCAGTTGGCCGGCCGGTTCTGAACTACGCTGCGCCCGTGTGGTCACCGGGGACTAGTACATTCCCACGACAGCCAGTTCTACGTACCGGAATGACTCGGGTTTTACCCGAGCAAGGGCTGTTGTTTCGGCGATCTAACCCCGTTTAGGTCGGCGAAATCCATCAAACGTTGCTCGATTCTAGGGCTACACCTTCTCCGCACCCTTCTGCTCAGGGCTGGCATAGAGTCAAACCCAGGGCCAGAAATCT